TTTTATTCGTTTTAAATATTACTCATTAGGTTAACATGGGAAATTCCAGAGCCACTGGGGCGGAGCCCGAACGGACTTTTGAGATAAGAATGCGTCTATATGTTAATCGGGAATGTGAGCTATCATCACACCAAATTTCAGCCCAATCCGGCCAGTATTTTCTGCGTTTACTTTTCACAAACATACATCCATACATCCAAACTTTCTCATTTATAATATTAGTAGGATTAGTAGGATATATATATATATATACCATAATACCATATAACCACACTACAAATTTAATTCTACAATATACGGTACGTAGTTTTATCCAAACAAACGATCAAAAACCCCGAATGAAATTTTTAATTGACTTAATAGTCAATGCATATAAGCGAGTCTTATCTTTCGATGCAGATTAAATAATACAAAGGCAGAGGAATGCGCGAGACCAAGGACAATGTCACGGCACGGTTGCTATAGAAACGACGCAACGAGAATTGCGCGCCAACGTCAACTAACGCCAGACTGTGTAAACACGCCGCGTGTGTAGTGTTCGACGGAGCTATAGTACTTTCAGTTGGCAATACTGGCTTCTAGCCTCGAGTGAGGTGGTTCAACCATGAGAAGCGCCTCAAACTCCTGGGTAATCCCCGGTTAGCTCCTCCCACTCTGCCCCCTATCCCCACCTAAAAGACGAGCAAGTGGTAAGTCGGTCGGGAGGATTGTCGACAAGTTGGTTTCTCGAATATAATAATTTAGTTTTACAGGCCGGTCAACTGGATTGACGATGAAATAACTTGTCGACGTACTGGTTTTCAGCATTTATCTATTTAATTAAAAAAGACGGTCTAGTGGCCAGACGACAAAGTATCTTGTCGGTCTACTGGTAGGCTCCCTAGTAAAACATTAAGTATATTCCAAATATCAATTAGTTAGTTTCAAGTAAATAGTATTCCACAGTCAGGAGGTAAGTCTTTAAAATTACCATTGATTAAACTAGTTAAGTAAGGTATAAAATAAACTTGGTAAGTTACTCATCCTTCAAATGTTTTATAGAGGTCATGTTATGTTTATTTTCATTTCAGTTATTCATCCAATCACAATAAAAAGGCTACAAACCATAGAAATAAAATATCATAGACACTAGTATTCCAATGTTCATGTTTTACAATAAACTTGTTCTAATGCATAGCATTACAATCACTAAAAATTAAGTTATATTTAATACATTTTGTTTTAAACTACATACATTAGGTTACAGTAAGGTTAATACGTTAGCAGGAAAGTGAGATTACGTCACAACTAATTAATTTGGCGGGAACATATTAGACAGTCATTATTCAATTATTACCCCAACCAGATATAAAACAATCAATAACTAGTAGGGTTTTGAACTCGGAACCCTAGGCTCTAAAGGCTCAAACAGTTTACTCCTAATATTACACCATACCAATAATCAAAATATTAATAAGATATAAGTAATAGTGAAAGTATGGTGCTCATGTTTTAATATTTTGGTGTAATCCATTATAGTTAATCTTCATTAGTCTCAAGTTAACATATATGTTTTATACACTCATTACTATATAAACTTGTTTCTTGTTATTCAGTCGTTTTAAATCAAATAGAGACAGCCCCTGGCAGATACCATCAACACTAGCGCTCCAGTGTCACAAATATGAATTAACAGACTTGTTTGGGTAAAAGTGAGGTTATGTTACAGATACATATGCAATACATAAAATAAGGTTATATCATTTAGAGGAAAAAATACAGTTGATTAAATCATTTAAGTAAGGTTATTATTACTATAAAATCATTTTTACCAGGCATTCTGTAGATGGTTTGTTTCTCATTATTCAACACCAGGCATTCTGTAGATGGTTTGTTTCTCATTATTCAACACATCATTAAATTAAATAGAAATAGCTCGAGGTAGGTTTCATCAACACTAGCACCCTAGTGTCACAAATATAGATAAACAAACTTGTTTAGGTAAAAAGTGAGGTTATGTTACATATACAAGAGGTCACGTGATCAGCTAGGAATCAAACCATGAACCTCTAGGCTAACAGTAACTATCTAGATGCTGATGCTACAACCTAATAGAGAGTTTTTAAACTATGACAACTAAAGAGATCTAGTGCTACAACCTAGTGGAAAATTTGTAAACTAAAGAGATTTAAGTGGTACAAATAATACAATGGTGTAATCCATTATAGTGAATCCTATATCAAGTTAATCATTACTATAAACTTATTACCATACCATCAACACTAGCGCTCCAGTGATAAATTAATAAACTTGTTTAGGTAAAAATGAGGTTATGTTACATATACAAGAGGTCATATGGTGAGTAGTTAATAAGACACTGCTACCTAGTAAATAATTTGTAGACTATAACAACTTAAAGTAAAACACCATTAACCAGGGCCGGATTTCCCAATAGGCCCGGTAGGCCCGGGCCTATGGGCGCAAGGTCCCAGAGGGCGCACGGCCGAGAGTAATTTTTTTATACCTAGGCTATCTAAAAATAAAAATAAATAGTCATAGTTGATAAAAAAAACTCCAAAGCATTGTGATTCTGAAGTTCATAAGAAGAAATAATTGTTATGAAATTTAAACTATATTTTCAGAATTATGCATCAATTTCGTTACAAAATTGGTAACGAACATTGGTTATACGGGAGTAGGCTGTAGGGATGTTGACGTTGACGAGCGCCCAAGGGGTACGCACCGCATCGTATTGCCACTGCACTGCCACTATGCTGGGTCGGGCTCGGCACTACTGATCAGATTGATAAGGGGCGCATTCGTGCTAGACATGACATTGTTACCACCCTCACATCACAAAACAAAAGTTATTTATTAACTAATCTTTTGATTAGTTTACAACTATCTGCAGGATTAAGTTAGATATCATAAGTTTGGTTGAATATTAAAACAACAATGAATTTACCTTTAAAACTAACAAAAAAATATTAATCTCAGTTTGCATTCAATTTTAGAAAAATTCAATACCCTCCAAAGAACCATTAATGCTGTCATTTTCTCCTCAGGCCTAAGGATCGGTACGGTTGGCCGGAATATTGCTCTGTTTTGCTTTGGAAATATAACCTAGATGCAGTGCGACCATGGATGAAATATAACTCAAGTCGACTTCTCATAACATTGTAATTCAAAATTTTTCCATGTGTAGTTCATGTTGGTGACACTGGATGTTAGTTTTGACGTAATTTTGTTTCTATTATTTTAGGGTTAGTTCTATGATGTGTGTTTTAATTTCTTGTAATATAAACAGGAGACGACCTATTGTTGATGATTAGATCGTTTTATTTTGGATAAACTAGGTTTAAACATAGATAAACATATCCCTTAAATAACAAGAATTGTTTTCAGCTAATCCAAAATGATGACAAATCTACTAAAGGAGTACGTATGTTTAATCTATGGTGTCACGTACTGTATGGAGTTCATGTTTTTGGGCCTGGAATAATTGGAATCAATGGCCATGTTTTTTTGCAGGAATGCTCGGTGGGTTCAGTTGTTTTGTTTCCGTCCCTGAGCAATTATTAAAAAAAGCATAAAATTGCTAAAAGTGTTTAAGACGGTATTTTGTTAAGGCTAAACAAGTCAATTCTTAAAAAAAAATTGCAATTATTCCAACGAGGAGTGGTATTCAAGCAATTAACTAAGGCCTATGGGCATGATATAGTTTTTAATAAAGGTTTGAAGGAAAGTAACTGTGACCAGGACTAGGGGGCGGAAAATTATTTGGGCCTAGGGGCGCAAAAATGCTAAATCCGGCCCTGCCATTAACACTTAGTGATAGACTTGTTTGGCTTGAGGTTATGTTACATATACAAAATCACAAAATCAACTAGAGATCAAACCCATAAACCTCCTACTACAATACAATACCAAAAATAACACATTTGATTAGGATTGAACCCATAAACCTCTAAAACTCCCACTATACCAAGAACACATTTTTACACACTTCAAAACACATAACATCCAAAATTTAACAGTATTTACCATTTATGCTCAACGGTAAAATTCCGCTTAAACATTATACACTTCAACATATATACACACCCTATAACATTTAGTATAGATATAGATATAGAATAAGTTTTATACTCAATAGTAAAGTTCTGCTTAAGCCCACTTTTAACATCTATTTGTTTCACATTTATTATACACTATAGCATATATAAAATAAAATGTTTTTTTTTAAAAAGTATTAAACCCATAAACCTCCCGCTATAATACAGTACCATTTGTGGTTAGTTAAAGTCAAACCCATAAACCAACTACACATTTAGATTAAGTTTTATGCTCAACGGTAAAGTTCCACACTAAAACAGCCAGCGGGAAAATTGGCGGGAAAGCAGATAATACAATACATAAATTGAGGTTATGTTACATATACAATATAATCAGTAGTTGGTAGCACTAGTGCTGCAACCTAGTAGACAATTTATAAACTAATACCATCAACTCAGAGTAACATACTGTCAACACTTAGTAATAAATTAATAAGTAAAAAGTGAGGTTATGTTACATATACAATATAATTAGTAGTTGGTAGCACTAGTGCTGCAACCTAGTAGAGAATTTGTAAACTAATACCATCAACACTTAGTAATCTGTTATGATGAATCTTATATCAAGTTAATCATTATTATAATTATACCATCAACACTGGCGCTCCAGTGGTGAATTAACAAAGTGGTTTGGGTAAAAAGTGAGGTTATGTTACATATACAAGAGATCACGTGATCAAACCTCCAGGACTCATATACAAACAGTTAACTATACCAGCAAAAAAAAAAAACACCCCAACCGGAAATGATCAGTGATTGGTAAGATTCGGACCCATGAACCTCCAGAACTCACACTACTCCCACTACATTACAACACTATACAAAAAACAACCTAAAATAACTAATTTAGCATAGATTAGATATAAGTTTAACATAATATATTTGGTGGCCTTTACAAAGGCCATTTTTTATACTCTATGGTAAAATTCCGCTTAAGCCCTCTTTCAGCTGTTTTTAACATCAGGTTATCATTTGTTTCACATTTATTATACACTATAGCATATATAATATAATATAAAATAAAATGTTTTTTACAAAGGATTAAACCCGTGAACCTCTCACTATAATACAATACCATTAGTGGTTGGTTAGATTCAAACCCATGAACCTCCAATGATATATTAGTTAGCATTAAACCTCTAGCATAGGTTAGGATTGAACCCGTAAACCTCTAAACCAGATGACGTCAGCTAATCACCTGAAATAAACAACTGTGGTTAGATTACATCCGGCATTGAACCCGTGAACCTCTAATAACATGTTTTGTGTTAGGTTAGAATCAAACCCGTGAACCTCCAATAATAGGTTAGGATTAAACCCATAGACCTCTAAACCATGTCACGTGATCAGCTAATCAGCTGAAATAAACAGCTGTGTGTTAGGTTTGAACCCATAGACCTCTAAATGATAGGTTAGGATTGAACCCGTAAACCTCTAACATAGGGTGACGTCACATAATCAGCTGAAATAAACAGCTGTAGTTAGATTACATCCAGGATTGAACCTATAAACCTCTAATAACATGTTTTGTGTTAAGTTAGATTCGAACCCATGAACCTCTATTGATAGGTTAAGATTGAACCCGTGAACCTCTAGCATAGATTAGGATTAAATAACCGGAAATGATATATTTTATATTAGGTTGGATTCAAACCCGTGAACCTCTCACTATAATACCATTAGTGGTTGGTTAGATTCGAACCCGTGAACCTCTAGCATAGGGTTAGGATTAAATAACCAGAAATAATAGGTTAGATTCGAACCCATGAACCTCCAAATGATAGGTTAGATTCGAACCCATGAACCTCCAATGATAGGTTAAAATCAAACCTCCAATATTTACACACCCTGTATATTTACAGGGTGGTACAAGGTGTCATTTACCACTATAAACTCTATACCCATAACTACTGTTGTAGCTCAACCAGCTAACGCATACAACTACCATTCAAAAGACCGGGGTTCGAAACCCGGTCAGGCCAACACTTTTTATCCATAATAATTTAATATTTAATACAAACACCTACTGACGTCAGCTAATCAGCTGTGGTTAGATTACATCCGGCTGAGAGTACCCTATCTACACCTAGATCATCTCAAGGTCAATTTTGGCCCGATCTGGGGTACGTCTACTGACATAGTTTATAATCTAACAGAAATTAAAACCTGGCACATGTAGCTAATTTTTATGTATTTCAACTTGGAAAATGGTAAATTGAACATTCATAAAAACTGTAAAGGTAAACTTTGCAGGCATTATTATAACAATGTCACACAGGCCTAAATATGCCATCCTCCTTTTGGGATTTGACTAAAAATTGTCTCAACCACAGGATACAATCACCGGTTGCTAAGACCGCAAGATAAACTAACGGGTTTTGCCGTCATTGCGGGAAACAATCAGCGCTGAGACAATCAAAAAGAGAAAAGATGCACGTAAACAAGTAAAAAAATATATTTAATTGTTATCAAGGTTAAAAAATGTATCTCATTTTTACTTTCAATGACCAACCATCCTGAAACAAATCACTTATCCGAACACTCCTAATCATAAATTGTTTTTGATAATCGACTCTTTACTGTATGAATAAATATTTTGCAACGTTGGCTAACAGAAAAATAATAATAAAATAAAACATTGCCAACTTTTACACTGATGATTGAATAACTGAAAAAAAGTACATGACATAAAAAGAAACCAGTGTCAAATACATCTTTATTACCTTCATGATTGAAAGAATGTTTTCTTATAGGCTCTTCAAAATCAGACAGCTTGAAGTCCTCACGATCGATCCCCTTTAGCCACTTTTGTAAGGAAATTTGTGAGATAAGTTTACTGCCTATGTTGGTGATAAAAATAAATATTGCCTTTCTGAAACAAAAATGATGAAACATTCAAAGTCAATAAGGAACAAACCATGACTAAAAAACAATGTTGCTTGGATGTTGAGATTTACGCAAACTATTGTCACGGTTAAAAGGCCGCCCCAATTGTTTGTCATGGAACTGATCACTCCATGTTAATATCTACACTGTTTGACGCGTCACAGTGGACCGAATATAGTATCCAGCGGAGTTTAATTGTGTTGGACACCTTAAAACCATAATCAACGCTAGTACGGTACTGAAACGGAACGAGCTTTCAAACAAGTCAGGACAACCAATCAGAGCGGTGGTTTGAGACAACTGTCAGCTGACTCGGAACCTTGGAGTGGAGATTGAAAGTGAAGACACTGAATCATCCTCATTTGGCCGCCATCACACCTATCAATTAGACAAGAAATCTCTGCAACTTTTGGACGCCGGTCTACAATTTTGCCCTCAGACTCTAAGGATTTATATACAGAGGTAAGACAGTCGGGATTCCAGAAAAAGTCTTTAATTGCTTCAGGGTTCCAAATTCCATTAATTTGTTTGTAATTAAAATCATTTTCAGTTGTTCAAACAAGTTACAGTTTGCCGTAGTCAACGTGAACTAGGTTTTTCTCAAGCCAAATTAACACGAAATTATAATTCCAGGGTTGACCTTATGTAGGTAATTTAGACCACTGTGGGTAAGACACAAACAATGTTGATAATTTTATAGTTTTAAGTACATTTTCCCTGTTTTATGATAGAAAATGTCTTGTAATTTTCATGTTGGTGCAAAGCAACAAGTTTGCAACAGGAGTCAGTCACATGGTCTCAAATTTAGCAAAATCGTTTAAACCATTTGTTTACAATCAGTTTTGGTTCCTCAAAGTTAGGTTAGGTTGTCCAAAAGGAAGAAATGATATATTTAGTAGTTTTTAGAAATTTTTGTCATTCTTGACCTAGGCCTACCTTGTACTTGTTCACCATGCTTTTGTTCATATGTAGTTCAGTGTTTTAAATATTTCTTGTTTAGCTCAGAAAATGTAATCAACCTACGCTCACTAAATTAAATGTAAAGAATGTAACAGAAATTATTCACGAGGAATTACAGGGTGTACGTTCCGGCCAGCCAGAGTTCCCACCTACGTCTTACGAGAGATCCTACCTTCGGCTTGTGAGAGATCCGACCTCCTGCTGGAGAGACGTTACCAGAATTGGCCCACTTACATCCTTGGCCTATCCAACATCGTGCGGGGCTGAGGACCTGGACCACGTCCACTCCTACCACCTGTCATCGCAGCGGACATCCAATGTCTGATAAGGGTAATGCCACACTAGGCTGTTTTTGTCGTGCGATAATAATCGCAACGGGAATAGTCGTTGAGGGGTGCCACATTGACGCGACAATAATCGCGGTGGTACGACTTTTTTTTAGCGCAAACATTGACCCGGGGTGCCACACTGGCGGTAAAAATCGTCGGTTTTGGCAGTTGTCAAGGATCAAGTTGTAATTATATTAGTTTGACTAAACAAAAAACCATTTGTTAGAAAAAATACAACGATCTAAAAAAAATTATCACAAACCTACATATTATTTTAAAGGAAATTGCAAAACTCAACTGCACTATAAATTAATATTATTGAACACCAGAAAATATATTAAAATATGCCATTACATATTTATGTAAATGTAAATACTACTAACACTTAACCAAAAGCTAGATGAAAATAACCACATTACTTTCATTATTTGACAGTGCAAGGGCTTCCAATTATGGGTGTAATCTGACCGTTTTAACTTTATATTCATTTGTACAGAGATACCCCACATTAAACTAGGGGGTCTATGCGGCGCAATACGCCTCAATGATTTTTCATTTTACAATGAATATCCACGCTCATAATAAAGTGGGTTGTAATTTCAGTAGTTTGATGTTTATATTCAGCTAACAACGTATGCTCTTCTGTTATCCTGAGTTTTACCATAAATAGATGTTTTAGTATGCAATTAATACAAATTATTATTTGTATAAGTACGATGAAGCGAGGCTGTTGCGCGACTGACGGGAAAAACAGCCGAGTGTGGCAGGGTTGCCGGCGACAATTCCCGCCGAAGAAATAGGCCCAGTCCCATTCCAGCGCGGCTGTCGCGGGCGGCAACTCCACTGAGCGACAATTCCCGACCGGTGTGGCACCCTCCATTTGATCCCTTGAGTTCTATTTTTGGCGCGACAGAAACCGCCAAACTCCAGCGACAAAAACAGCCTAGTGTGGCATTACCCTACGTCCTAGGCTAGCCTTTACCGTAACTTCCATCTGACTACAGTTCAACTATCAGCCTACTAACTCATTTTAAATTTGGCCAAATATAAAAACTAAATCAATTTCTCTGGACATTTAACTTACGCAACTTCTGGTGCATCAAGATTCACATTCCATTCAAATTTCAACCAAACTCTCTTCAGACTGTATTTTGTGCAACTCCAAGTGCCAAGTGAGCTCGACGCAACTAAACCATCGTGTCAACATATTCTGTAGGCTAGGCCTAACTTTTAGAGATATATAGATTACGGTAATTGTTCGGATTGTAGCCAAAAGGGTAATAGTGTCTTTGATATTTGTCGCTGGTGTTGCCTAGTTTTAAGATTGTCTATTTTATTATCATTGTGTATTTAGTATTGTGTCATATTATGCTCTGCCGGATTGATTAGAGACCTGATATATTTTGTCTCTGTTGTCACCTGTTTAATTGTAAGATTGTCTATTATTACTGTGTATTTTGTGTCATATTATTGCTCTGTCAGATTGATTATTGACTACGGTCGAACATATATTATGTTTAATGTTGTCTTTTGAGTAAAATTGATTGTTGCTTTTCTTTAATATATTTTGCTACCGTCTGCGCAGTCGGAAATTCCAAAAGCTTTTGGTCACAAAAAAAGTAAATAAATAAATAGCCTATTTGATTTATATTTTTAGGTTCAAGTGTCTTGGTAGTAACGAATACTGAACGAAAACGTTGTTTGTAGCATTTTTATTGTTTAATATTTTGTACCGGACATTTGAGTCAGGCTTGTCTGTTCAAAATATTAACTTTTAATAAATCTTTGCTTATTTTGTTACCTATATCTTGTTTCATTCTTGAAAACCAGTGTAAATATTTGTCATAGTGTATTATAGTGGGCGTAGGTGGGTCAACCCCTGAATTATCCAGTTTTATTCACAATTTTCTCTAAATTTAAACTCATCCCAACGCTAAGTCAACATAGATTTTAGGGACCTGTCGAATCTCATGGTATATGGGAGCATAGGTTAAGACACACAATACTACAGAGATCTGCAAAATCTGTTACCATCCTGGGGCTGGAACGTTCCCAGTTTATCGGCCAGCATCATACCCCGAAACTGGGTGGCGCCCTGCAGCATCACTGAAGTACTTGGTTATTACCCTGGTTCATAGGTTACCTATACACAGTTCCGCCCACGACCCGTCACTGACTGAGACCTAGCCGTGGGGTGTGTCACTATCTATTTATGGTCTAAGTATAACAGGGAAAAACGTATAACAGGAGCTTTTGTTTAGTGGATCTGTTAGATCGGCTAGTCTTAGTTGTCATCAATACCCGGATGGATGTATATAAATGGAATAAAAAGCATATTAATCCCTCATATGAATTTAAATTCAACAATCTTTTACAAATACAACATAAAAATACCAGTGTCATAAACATAGGATAAATATTAAATAGGCAGGGTCCTGTAGCTAGACTTGGTTGTATGAAAAAATAACTACGTGAAATCAAATATTTAGGGATAAAATTGAGGGTTACTACTTTTTTTAAGTAGGCCTACATGGAACTCAAGAGCTATTTTATTTACTTAAAAAAGCTACAAAAATAATTTCTCTTAAAAAGAGAGAGGTCAAATTATGATAGTTGTGATGAATAGTAAATAGGAGGGTTGTCTGAAACATTAAGGTCTTCATCGAGCTCGGCCACAGTCAAGTTACTGAGACCGACCCCATCAGTCTTGTTTGGGACAGTGGCCAAAGTTAGAAGAATTTTGTATTTGGGTCTCAATATAATTGCAAAACTGATAGGGACTCGATAAGAGTTTTAAAGTCGCATCTCTACTATGCTAAATGGCATACATCGGCATTGCCGAGTAAAAGGTGTGGACACATGGCCGACATGTGCAGATAGGAGATGCCTCGTTCAGACAGGTTGTCGGTCCAGATCAAAAGAAGCTGTACGGCAGTCATCACCATAGTGGGAATGCGGTTTAAACAGTAAACCCTGGAGTCTTAAACATGCCAATCAACAAGTGAAGATTCCCCAACTTTGACACAATGATTTCTCCATGGAAATTATACTGTCAGTTTGCTGTGAAAATGTGTGTGGTTTTCTGTGAACTCCATATTATCATTAGCAATTGAGATGGGGACGCAATCAATCTATGTTCGTAATTTAACCCAAATATGAGGGAAGGAAGAGTGTAGAATGGAAGATGATCCGTGTAAATTTGTTACAGACTATGATCAGCTGTAGCCAGGTTCATTTTAAAGCCCAATGATCAAGGACAGCTGGGTCCAGATTCGAACAATCAAAAAGCTACAGACTTTTCTCAGGATTGGTCCGGCAACCTTTAGATAGTTATATAATAATAGTTCTTAAGCTCAGAAATTTGCTCTGGGTAACGCTAGTTACAAACTAAAATTTGAAGCTATTTAAATACCTGTAATCGTAGCCATCGATGTGAGTGTTGTAATCAATGTAAGGCTTGATCGCGTCCAGCACATATGGGGGGTATTTGTCCACCTCATCAAACACAAAAATGGATCTTTGGCACAAACTTATTTTTTCCTGTAAATCTTCTTGTAGTCTCATCTGTAATACATCCATAAAATGTCAAAGTACCCACATCAGCACTAACCCACCAAAAGTCAAAAAATTGTTCAAATTGGTAAAACAACGTAGGAACCTAGGAAGTTCAAAAGATCACGAATCAAACATGCCATTTCATTGTAATTGATGACTCTATAACCCATTCACGCACATAGCAAATGTTATCTCCTCACTTGCAATACACTCTTTTAGATGTTTATAGCCTAACACATACAAAATTAAACTATAAGAAGTGTGCATTTGGCAATTTGCCCTTAAATAAACCTTATCTTATGATTGATGCATATTTTTCATTCTAATTCTTTTTTTCTCGATTTTATTATACTTGCGGAAGCCTACCTATCAATATTAAATGATTCAAATAAATTTTAAGAAATATACTAGGTGTACTTTGATGTAAAAGTAATATGTTTTCAAGCATGTTAACATAAGTTTGGTTAGGCCTAGTTAGTTGGTAAATCCAAGAAAGAACTATTAGGGTGTTACTTTTATATCTTCTATATAATTTTCATCTTTTGAGAAATAAAAGATTAGAAAATCTTACCTTGTATTTGTAAACCATGTCTTTATCGTTGCTCGGGAAGTCTTTTCTAGCGAAATATGTTTTAACAAACTTACTGCTTTGTCCTTCCCTAAACCAATGCTCCAATATAAAATCTTTAACAAAAGTTTTTCCTCCCCCTGTCCATCCATGGAAGCTTAAGACTAAAGGTTTCTTGTGGTTTGTCTTTGATACATGGTTTTTCAGCGCTGTTAGAATGACTCTTACAGCTAAATCTTGACCAAAGACTTTTTCATAAAGGACTTTCTCTAAACCTGCAAAAAAATATTACAGTCACGTCACTTGTTTCTAAATCTGAATTCCACTGGCAAATAAATTTTAACTGTCCAAATTTCACAATTTTAAAATCGATCGTACAGGGCCATTATAAAAAAAAGATTTTAAATACGAACCAAATTTTAAACATTATTCACTCTTAATCAAGAGAATGCATAATTTCAAATAGGGGTAGGCCTATAAAATTGACAAAGCAACTGTAAGTTGATATCAATATGTCGATTCACCAGTAAACGTTAACCCTTGCCAAGCGGTGGTTGCAGGGCGAAGCTCTACTATCTATGCGATCAATAATTTGGTTCAACTTTAACCATCAGATAGAAGTGGGAAAACATAACAATTTCTTTATAATTTTTTTTTATAAATTTTGATGTTTTCCCACTTCTATCTAATGGTTAATCAAATCAAATCAAATCAAATCTTTTTATTGTCTTTCAGCTCTACAAAAGCAATTGACATTGTCAAATGACATCTTATCATTAAAGCATTAAACATAGTCATAGAATAAATAACAGGAACCTTGATCTTAAATAAATTATTTAAAAACTTATATCTAAAACCTCCAAGGACAAGAACTTATCTACAGAGAAAAAACATTTTAATTTTAACCATGAATCAAGGACTGTTTTGAATTTTTTTATTGGAATCGTTACTGCAGAAGGGGGCAATTTATTAAAAAATTGTATACTAAGATATTTGTAGCTATTGTGTGTAAGTGTAAGTCTTGTAAGTGGTAAGTTGAGATGATGGCTATTTCTTGTGTAATGTTTATGTATGTCAGATCGGATGCTATACTGGTCTATATTCTCTTTTACGTATAATAAGCAATTTAAAATGTATAAAGATGGAAGGGTTAGGATATTTAGGGCCTTAAAATCTGCTTTGCAATCTTCCCTGGGCATTGTTCCTCTAATGCACCTGACTGCTTTCCTTTGCCATTTGAAAACGGTTTTGGCTCCTACAGAGTTAAGAGAACACCATATTGTAGGTGAGAATGGAAAAATGTGTAATAACAATTCAGAATAATTTGTTCACTTACATTGTTTTTTAATTTGTTAAATAAAAATACAGTTCTAGCCAATTTACTACTTAAAAAGTTTGTATGCTCAATCCAATTCAGATTCTTTTCAATATGGATTCCTAGCAATTTTACTGATTTATTGTCATTAGAATTTATTTTAAGGTTAAAATGAATTTCTTCTGTTTTTGAGTTGTTAATCCTTAATTCATTTCCCCGAAACCACTCTTCAGCCAACTTTAACACCCCATCCCGTTCTTCAAGTGCTTTGTTCATATTTTGACCACTTGTGAGGAATGTAGTATCATCAGTATAAAGAGTGGTTTTACGGGGAACAAAACAAGGCAAATCATTAACAAAAACAATAAAAAGTAGAGGCCCAAGGACTGATCCTTGAGGTATGCCAATTTTGATTTTTAACATATTAGATCTTGAATTATTTACCTGCACCAGCTGGAAACGGTTCACTAAATATGAACTTAACAGGTTTAATGATTTTTCAACTACTCCGTAAAAAGAACATTTTTTAATAAGAATTTCATGAGAGACTGAGTCAAAAGCTTTAGCCAAATCAATTAATGTTGCAGACATATTAATTTTACCATCACAACCGTTAAAAATATCTGTGATTATGTTTTCCAAGGCCTTGATTGTGGACAAATTTGATCTAAAACCAAACTGACTATCACAGAACAAGTTATTTTCTTCAAAATATGAATAAATTTGTTGGTGTAGACAGTGTTCTAATCTGTAATTATTTGGATCAGTTTTTCCCCCTTTTTTGAAGATTGGTATTGTAACTGATATTTTAAGACATTCTGGAAAAATTTCTTGTTCAATCATCATATTATATAGAATGGTAAGTGGATATATCAAAAGAGGGCCTATCTTTTTGATTACAAAATTGGAGAAGCCATAATAGTCTTCAGCCTTAGAACTACTTAGTCTATTAATGGACTCTATAATATTTAATTGGGAGATTGGTGACCATTGGAATTTTGTATCAACCTTTCTTGAAGCTGAGAGTAGAGCAATAGGGTCCCTTGCACTTTGTCTGTTAAGTGAAATGTTATTATTCAGTGGTAAACAAGCAGAATTTACAAAACTATAATTTAAAACCTTTATATCAACTGGAACAGAATTTTAAATCTTAGAATCATTGATTTCATTCTTTATTACATTCCAAGCAGCCCTAACTTTATTTTTTGAATTTGCAATGTAGGCCTACTCATCATTAACCTTGCGCTTAGACAATTTTATTTCATGTCTATAAATTTTTCTCAGTATTAAATAATTTAATCTATTTAGTTCACTCAAGTGAGACTTGTCCTTATATATGAGAAGCATTATTCTTATCCTTTGGAGGCGATCAGTGTACCACTTAGAGCTATGTTGAGATGCTTGCTTGATATTGTGTTTATTGTTTAATTTAGTAACAATGGGACAGTTTGATTCAAAAATTAATTTTAAATTGTTAATTATAATCAAAACATGTATCTATATTATTATTAAAGGGATACAATTCATATGACCAGTCAACCATATTTAAATCATTTTGAAATGAATTAATAGCTTTGTCACTTAATAGGTATAGGCTAGGTCATTTAAAGTTGATTGTAGACACCTTTTTTATAAAAATAATTCTTTTACAAGTTTAGTGGCATAAATAGTTGCGTATATATATAGGCTCATACGTTCAACTCTCGCCAAGGAATGCATTTATGTGTAATATAGGCTACGTCTTAAACTTGCAAACTTTGTTTAGGAAAAACAGTAGGCCCCTAATTTATTTCTTGGTGTTAAATTAATGTTAAAAAGATAACGAAATTAAAAAAAATATATGTTAACAACAACATGTCTTCTTTATTATTAGCCTACTAAAAGATCGAACATACTTATGTTATGTTATCTAATCATAATAGGCCTATGATAACATGCAAAATATTGGTTTGGATCATTTAATCTAAAACGACATTTTCAATTTAACTTAATCATCACAAGACATTATATTTCTTAATGCACTGAATATGCTAGCCTATAATCCATTAATCTTATTTGCATGTGTGCTTTTGTGGGTATGATTTACTTCACTCAAGAAGGTGCTCAAACAGACTGTGCTGTGCAAAACAATAACATGAGGATGACTCAGCCAGCAGGTTTTGTAAGTTAAACAATAGATGTTACAAGATCAGCAATGCTAAGAAACCATCACAACAATATTGATTAATGGCCTAAGGTCGACAGTCAAGAAACAACTTTAAAACACCTAAGTTAAATGTTGTTTATACGTTAAACGTATATGTGCGTCATATGCTTTTAACCTTCAGATTTAGTTGCATATACGGCCAATGCTCGCTTCTGGAAAGTGTCGTTGACATACAAGCTAAATACGGCAAACACTCAGGAAGGGTTAAGGGCCAATCAACATCATTATCATTACTTTAATGTCCTTATAAAACACGCCTAAGTTACCTTTAGAAGTGTAAGAGAAGAGCGATCGAGACCTTGTTAAGTTACTAGATATTGCTAAGCTTCAAACTAGCCTATATATAGGACTTACCCGTTATGTTGCTAGTAACCCATCTAGAATCACATTGTTCAGCATATAGACTAACTACCGGTGATAAAATATCAAACACAGAAAATCCACTACTAACATGAAAAACTGAAATAAATACATGAAAAATGTAATGTAATTTCATTACTTATGTAATTACAAAATATTGAATGATATGAGCATACGTTTGTCAACTTAGTTAGGAAGGCCTAGATAAACACAAAATGAAAACTGTGTGTATGATTACTTTTTGAGCAAATATTTTACACTACATCAGTTAATATATTAATTATCTAAACTGGAAACAAACTAAATAAACGTCATATAAAATATATACAACTGATCCGGGTGCTAGGCCTATAAAATGATTATTAAAGTAAACATAACCTACAAGTAATGCACAATAACATAATTCAAAATCAACCAAAGTCCAAAACTGAACTGACGTCTGCCGCTCCGCTTCGCTTCGCTGCGCTGCCCGTTTTCAAGTTTTCATTACTGTTACTTGGTAGCTTGAAAGTCTTATGTTTCATGTAGCCTCAATGTTTCATGATACAAAATTCACTTAGATCATAGATTAACGTACATTCTCCAGAGAGAATACTGACAATGTTTAGTAGATCTTTTCCCTTACAAGTGTTTTTCCGTGTAGATTGTAATAAAAGGATTGGTGAATAAATAATAATTGTGCAGTAATGCATTATATCACTGACAAGGGAAACACAAATTTTATTTCCTTAGTCAACGATTATATCAAGTGCCAAATGAGATGAAAGATTTTAAAGTGTAAAGATTTTTGGTAAATGATATATATTTTCTCTTTCAGTGTCACATACACTGATATGGTACGAATAATCAATCGATCATACATCTCCCAAGTATACCTAATCCATATGAGGGCACTAAGGCGTCCGAATTAATGAGAGAGGGGCACGCTTTACCCCTGACGCGCAACCGAATGCAAGGGTTTGCAAGATTTCTGTTTTCACCTGATACATTGAAGGTAGAATCAAAGTTAAGGTCTCATATTAAAGAGGATGAAATTTCCTATAGTTCTTTGTTTCTATATTTCAATTATTTTAAATACACACCTTATAAACTTGAGTTGTACTACAAGAAAAGAGGGTCTTTTCAACTAGCCTTAACTTATTAAAAAAACGTTTTTTGAACATTTGAAAAACGCAGAACTATAGATTGGTCTTTGTACTACTATAAGCCGTTTAGAGTGCGTAGCTATCATTATTTGTTAATTCTAAAACAGTAATCTTGGAAACGTCTGCAAGCGCTTCTCGCGGCACTGTTCAATGGTGAAACATAGCTACTGGAGCCCGAGCTGAGATTTCCGAGCCGAGGTAAAGCGCACCCTTAATGTGTGCCCCAATACATATGGTTCATAGGTCGGACCACACTAAATACTCGCTTGTGTTAATTATTAGTCTAGGGTGGAACTCCATCACACCAATGAAAGGTGCTTAGATCGTATGCTCCAGCCAGAGAAATCTACCGAAGGCGATGCGGTCGCACAATATTTTCCCCGAGCATCCCATTTTATATTCTGCGCAAGCCGCACGTCACTTCAACCGAGTGATGGGAGGATAGAATTCTATACATCTTAGTACAGACCTGTTTTCTAATACTGTACTTGATTTCAAATTATTCAAACTATATTACATCCTGAATGGAGCTCCATACTAAAACTCAGAATGTGGCTTAATATGACAAAATAAAGTACTGTAGCTCGTTTATTATAACAGTACATAATAAATAATAGTATTATACGTAGTAACATAACTAAGAGTGTATACAATGCCAAATGATAGCAGTGCTCTCACTTATTTAACTAAATAAATGCACTTACAGAGCCAGCTCTCTGATGATGTATCACCATGAGGGATATGCAGTATAATCAATGTCAATTAATTTTAATCCTCATATTGGAGGAGTAGAAAAATTGGTGAACCTAAACATATGACTATGTAAATATTAATGTTAATAGATTAACCCAAAATAAAAATAAATATGGTATCACTGTTAAAGATATACCAAGAATTTGCGAAATTTAGACATTGAAATCTTGTTTAAAGACTTTCGACATATTGTATGATCATGACTCGATGCTTTAGCTTAAGACGTATCTGTAATATACTAAGAAAATACGTTTGTTTTTGCTTTCATAAATCTAACGAAGATTTTCATGTGATTGCAGAGATGGACACCGGTGATCAAGGTAAATAGGCCTTTTCCTTTTTAACTATCTATATTAATTTTAGAACATCAACGTTTCAATTGATTGTTTTAAACGTTTAACTGTTAAGATCAGAATTCCACATTGCAAACATTAGATTTTATCACATATCATTTATAATCTATTATCATCATACACAGTTTGTATAGCAAACAGCACGGTACCAACTCTCCAGACAATATAGGTTAGTATCATTGATTATGGTATATATAGTCAATGGTAGTATCCACTTAAAGAAGACAGAATTATTTACTTTAACTACAGTATAACACCTCATATATTTTCCTCGCGCTATTTGGGATTGCCGGTCCTCTGTGTATCCGGCAACTTCTCAGAATTAAAAATTCAAATTACAGTATTTGACTACTCGCAAAGGAAAGACAAGAGCATTTAATTTTATATGACGGTCATTCTATTTCGAGGTTGTATTGTAATATAACAAAAACCCATCTACAGTAAATTTGTATTATATTGTGTAATTAATTTATCTGAGTAGGTAGCGTGTATGCTTTTGTAAAATGATAAAGATTAACGTACCCTGTTTGTCTTCAGTCCCATTAGGTATAGTCATGTAGGTAACTATCACGGCCACCTTTGACTACAGGCCTCGGCCTGGTAGAATTGGCATCGTTGCAAGTGGAGTTGTCTAGCACCAGACAGACGTCCCATAAGAAAAGATGGCAGACAGGTGACACCAGCTCATTAATTCGCACTTTATTTATTTAAATCAAAATTTTTGAAGATAAATTTATTGAAATATTGAAAATAAAACATACAGAATTGAAAACGGCATCAATATGAATTAAAAATCTATATATCTGTACATTTTAAAGCGGAGTCAATAGAGTAAAGTATAAAGTAAGTATTGTCATAGTCCAGTAACCAATCTTTCGTAAATACACAAATACCATTAGCTGCTTCCAAACAAAACCGCTGTTACAACACCACTTGCGACGTTGCCATTTCGAAGGCCGCGGCCTGGAGTTAAAGGTGGCCGAGTAACTATACGACTTATTATCAAATCCGATAAGAGCGTTAATGGAATATGGAATCCGACAAACGCCTGATCATTTATGCTTTTTCGTTATGCATTTCATTAACTACAGATTCTGTACCGTTGAATATAAGTCATCAATTACATATTGAGTTGACATAGGGCCTACACAAGGATACATGATGAAACTCAAAGGTAACTTTGGTAGCGTATCTAAGAAGTTATTCACATACATTGAGAACTACCGCACTTCAAAGTAACTTCTAATGGCGTTTCTAAAAACAGAGTTAAAGAAGTAATATTATTTTGGTTGAAGTTTATTGTTTCTTTCGCTATCGGATGGTTTCTGAGGCTCTTTTTCGAAGTAACCCAAAATTTTCAATTTGAATTAATATATTTTTGTTTTATGGTAGGTATATTTCGTTTTTGCAAAGATGAAAGCATAGTTTATTTTTTATTTAACAGATATCATACGGTTACCCGTAGCCACAAATGTTCAGAGTATCATGATAAGGCCCGGATCGATGACTTTAGAGAGATGGACCTCTGCTCCCATGTTCATCAACATACCACCACCAACACAGTTCCAGCAACCTGTGTCTCCGGTTGGTGATAGACCTAGGAAAAGACTTTCCAGTCCTGGTAGAATAGACGTTTCTCTCATAGACCAGATAAAAGAAGAGCTAAAAGAAACGGTGAGTCAATATTATTATGGGGTAATATTTTTTAAAGTGTCTACTATAAAACACAAGTGAACAAACCTCAATTTTCTACTCTAACTGTTGGCTTAAATAATAAATGAATTACCTAATGATTTGTATTTGTATTATTCAAATAAGTAAAACTTTTAATTACCTATACATTCTTTACAGAGTGGAACCATCGATAATTTAACGAATCATAAAGTCCATTCCCTTTTCCTGTTATCAATAAAAAACACTTAACAAACAAATTGGACAGTGTAGAAAATTAATAATTGTAATGGACGCTTTTTAATCTCAGCTTGATATTTTGATTGCTTGTTTATGTCGGTTAGTAGTTAAGTGAAAATGGTTGGGACTTAAGTCCCAAAATGAACAGTTGCCATTTTAATCATAACTAGCTGTGTGCCCGTTCTACGCACGGGGATCTTATAGTAGTCAGTTGAAACCTTCTTATATTAAGATTAAGAGCAGCAATTAGTTTGCATATTTGCAGATATGCTGGCAAAACTATTATGTATAAACCTTCGCAAATACAGTATCTGACAGTTCAAGCCAAAATAAATGCTTCGCAATTAAATGTCGCCCGGATCGTTTTGGTCCATATGTCCAATGATTAAACTTAAAAATGTTTTATAGATCCATGAAGCGTAGCCCTAAAGTAGGCCTATAATTGAAAGTTACTTTCCACATCGGTTAACTTAAACGTATTTAAAGTACTACCTCAACCTCACCATTTAACACTTTATTCCGGTTGACATTTTCAGTATCAAAGGTGCTCTTGTCCATTCCGTGAAACACTGAGAAATAAGGACATTAATGCGTTACCAACATACAACAAAACAACACAATACAACAATCCAACAAAGGCCACGAACTATTGATACATAAACAATATAAAGGCGTAAACAATTCATGATGGTTTGCCCAACAAATGTTTTACTCAAATAGGTTATCATTTTCTTAGCATACCGGGTAAGCTAAGATTTGGAATCCAGGCAGAAAAAGCAAAACTTATACAGAGTTAAGACATCACTTAAATTGAATACGGAGAACGGACGGCTCTAATAAATAAGGTGCAACACCAACGATATCTAATTTGTAAACTACCGGTTCTAAGGAAAAGAACCAGTACCTACGTAAGAACCTACCTAAGAATTACAGTAAATCGGACCAATTAAATACATTAATATCTAGCTTCGAGGTTATTGATCTCTTGCTTTTGGATTTTCTCGTAAAAAGTTATAGCGTAAACTTATCGGTGTCAGTTTGAAAAAAAAAACAACCTTACCCAAACAACTTTTTGTTATTTAATAGATTACGCATTCTCTAAACAATGATTAGTATATCTATTAACATTAGAAGGAAATGTGACGAAAATCACACAATGTTGGGGTTTTGGTCATTTGTAATTTTATTTTTTAAGTAGGTAGGCCATGTAGCCTATTCTATGGAAAAGTACCGGTATCAAGGATCGTCGTCAAAAAGGTTGTTATGAATAAATATGTAGGCTTACGTACCCAAGATATGAGCTATGGGCCTATTGGCTGTATGGTCCAGCGATTGCATCACACGGTGAGTAGAAACAGAAAGTGACACATTGGAAAAGCGAGTTTAGCACTTCCTCTGTAAAACCTCTGTTACAATCACCCACTGCAGTTGTGATTTTTTACTTTACACTTTACACAATCGCCATTGAAGCGCCGTCAATGAGTGGAAACCTTTTTTGTAAGCTATTGGCGACGATCATTTCAGTGTCACAGCCCTATATAACACTGATTCAAGGTCTTCTTCTTTCTGGTTGTCAAAACTCAAGAAACATTTTATACTCAAAGAATTTCTGGTTCCGATTTGGATGATGTCTAGTTATTTAATTTCATTTACGGTTACACTATTAGACTATATTATTGCACTTGCGGTTAATTAAATCCGTTATGTAAGAAAAACGTTTTTAATCTCACTTGGTTGGGATTTGCTTTCAAAACGTGATTCGAAATAGTTGCGGTATTTGTAAACAGCATTTGTAAACATGTCATTGACAGATAGAAAAAATAATCTTGATCCGAACAGCTGTTCGTTATTTCATAGACGATTCTGTGATAAAAATTGAACGAAAATTTGACAAAAATCGCACAAAACTGCATTTTTGAACGTCCGTAATTTTATTTACAAAGTAGTGAGGCTATATTTAAATCACTAAAGACACTCTCGCCAATCCAGTGAATACATTAAAATGGCTTGGATCTTGATATGTACTCTGGTTTTCACGGAGAAGATTGCGTAAAATGCCATCTTGAGTGTTACAGACAAAGGGACAGACAGACAGACAGAAATTGAGATAAGACTCGTTTCTGCTTCTTTAATGTATAAAACGTAAAAATAACCTAAAAGTATATAATTCTGAGCAATGTACAGACAAAACTCTAATTTTATTTATATAGAAGATAGGCGTAATTTAATTATAATTTGATATTTTATTTTTAGGAGAGAGGCGACTGTGAACCTGAAGACGCTAAGAATGTTAAAAATGACAAGTAGAGTTTTGGTTTTAGTATGTAAAGTGAATAAATGCACTATTCATGAATATTTTATGTTTAATTTTGTTATTAAATGTCTTCCTTTTCTAATTATTGTTTATTATTTTTGAATTGTAATTACGTAGTATAATGCACCCAGTGGTTTGGTTACTTCTATAAAATACTACTCAATAAAACCATAGATAACACACTCTCTTATAAAAAATACATTTAACCAGTACCATTAGACTAACTTTTTTGCATTACTGTACCTTACTTTACACTCCCGTGACGTTTAGAAAGCATACGTATGTCACTTGCCGTGAAGAAGCTAAGAAGCTATTCGCAATCACTGAGCTATAATTCTAACTGGAGGTAGCACTGAATGTCAAAGATGCGTGTCGCCAGCCGCCATGTTTGCGTGAGGTGTGAGTTATAAAGAAGCCATGTTATTGGATGAAAAAACTCACTGCTATACAGACCACGACCTTCTCACCGCAGTATTTCACCTTCCTTTTTTTTGAACTTTTGGAACAGTTAAACGGAACTGTTTGGAATAGATTTGTTAAAACCGTTACATTACAAACAAAGAGTTCCATTCCATTTCCTTTTTAGGCGTTCATTTTGTTTTTCGTGGATCTCTGTCTTTAACCTCCATTTTGTCAAGTGATTGGAAACTTTATCTCAAATCGATGGTGTAATTTCAAGTTAAAGAGTTACTGGATCAGTATGTCTGATATTAATACAAAAAAGTTTGAATGTTCATTTTGTGACAAACACTTTTGCTAGTAAATTTAATTTAACGCGCCATACACGTAATGTGCATGATAGTTGTTGTAGTGAACAATCTGACTGTTCAAACAACCCGAAAAGGCTTATTTGCCCAGAGGCCCAGAGGGTGATTGCTCTCATCAATTTTCGTGGTTTGAAAACTTGATCCAGCATCTGGAAGAAGCCCATGCCATTGAAATAATAGTTGGGGAGCTGAATTTTGAAACAGAAGAAGGTAAGTTAAATTTATTATAATTATGAACTTCACAATACTGTATCCAAAATATAGCTATAAATATAATAATAAAACTTTTGATTTTAATTTGTATGTGCTTTTTCATTGTGACTCCTGCTCCATCAACACCTTATACCTTATAACCTTTCTCATTGTTAGCAAATTTAACAAAACTGTGCAATTTCTTTGAATAGTTTTCCTTAATATGCTATTATATCATTGTCTTTTAAGAATAAGCCGGTTTTCGTGATGTAATGTAAGAATAATTAAATAAACGAAACCAGTTAACTAACTTACAGGTTATGTCCATGTCTATAAAAGACTTGTTATTATTATGAGGAGGAGGAAAAAAGGTATATCATAATAATTAAATTTTTATGCAGGAAAAATAATAAAGTTTTTAAGGAACGGAGCTATTTGTAATATAACGGTTTCGCCTAACCTATTCTATACTTTTTGTCACAGTTGTATTGAACATTATCCCAAACAGTTCCGTGTAACTGTTCCAAAGGTTCTAAAAAAAGGGAGGTGAAATACTGCGGTGAGAAGGTCGTTACAGACCTAGTTATAGAAGCCATATCATTGGTTAAAAAAACTCACTGCTATACCAACCTAACAAAATCAGCGACACGCTCTTGACAGACTTCTGCCATGGCAGTGCTACCTCCAGTTATAATTTTAGCTCAGTGTTCGCAATAGTCATCGCTGCTAAAGGTTAAATGTAAAAAAAATTTGAATATGCAATTAGTACATACTTAAGCCTTAGCCTTGTAGTAATGAGCCCTTTCCAAAATCGTTCAGCTAAAGTGTTTTACGTGATAAATGCATTGTAAACATTCATAATTGATCGAATAAGATACTGATCAAATTAAAAAATCTTCCTTAAAAATAATTCAAGAGTTAACTTGACCTTTGTATTGTTTCTATTGACGTCAATGGAAGTAGGCGTGGTTTATAGAGTGCGTGCGTGCAGGGTGCAGACGGAAAATCGGAAAATGTTTTGAACCTAGATGTCATTCCGTTCGTCCGTCAAATGTCAAGTGGGATGATAATAGTGGATATTTCCATTACATGATTTGATTAGTCTTACCATACATTTGATTTCACTTTATCGAAGTAGTGATTTGTTTGACACCATGGCTGAGAAAACAACACCAGCACTCTTCATAACCGCAAATGTTGGGTCCATTTTTGAAGAGGTAAGTGTTTAGGCCCCTATTAATTAGTGAGCCTAGTTGTTGTTAAACAAAGCTAAATGACAAAGTAATAGTAATTAAAACATGGACCAGACCTGGTTTTTTTCAAACTTGTATTGTGTCACTGTAATTTTAATGATTTATTCTTTCAACTATAGAGGCTTTGGTTTGTTATTCTGTATTCTTACAATTGCTTGTTAAGTCAGAAAATGTTATGGTACATGAACTTTAAAAATGTACCATAACCACGATAAGAAATAAATTTACATCATAGACAATCATACCAGAGGATTAGGTTTAAAGGTTTAACTTAATCTTTTTTGACATGGAAGTGTGCATATTTATTTTCAATTACCCATAGCTTAAATTAATAATGTTTCAAAATCTGTGAACTTTAGTTAACTGGGTCAGGAAAAATGTGTAAGTTAAGTTATGCTGTTTGAATTCTGGATCTTCCAATCAAAGGCTGCACTTTACTTTACTTTTAGGTCCTACACTCATTCGAAGAAAATATCGAATATTCGATTGTTTCATTCGATATATCGTTTAGTTAGTTAGGTTAGGTCAACCTTACCTAACTAACCAAACGACATATCAAATGAAACGATCGATTAATGGATATATCAATCAATATTTTAACTCGAATGAGTGTAGGACCTAAAGTAAAGTGCACCCCAATCAAATAATGTAAGTTAATCTACTTTTGTGAACATTGAAAAGTAAAAAGATTCAATATTTTATTGATTGTCGTCATAGATTAAACATAACTTAGCTAAGTACTCCATCAAACATTTATCATCCTAATAACTTAGCTACACACCTAGATACACGAGGCAAGTAGCTGGGCAGGTTACCTGCCTCAGTTAACTTAAAATACTATCTGCTAGGCAGGTAACCTTCCTGCATATTGCCTCTGACAGTGTTCAGTCGTAAAACGACAAATGGTAACTTACTCTATTCACAGTAGGTACCTACTTAAGTTATCTCAAATAAATTTTCCAATTAATTAAACAATGCCCATAAGACAATATAGCGGGTAGCTAACTTTAGTGGTCCTTTAGTAATCACAATAGGCATAATCCTAATCAAAAGCTCGATCTTAAGCAAAGCAAGTTAACAATTTTTGATGGTTAGAAACTGGACCTGGTCTTCAACAAATCTTTCATCTTTTAAATTTTACCACCAATGCTTCACTCATTATCTCCTTAAAATATGCAATATTGTGTGTCAACATGGATCTTGAACATTACGCCTAATTAATCCAATATCTTCTTACTGATAGACTAAAAAATGTAGGTATGTCTGTTTAAAATATTTTTAGAGGGGAAAAAGTTCTATTTAAAAAATAATATGGCATTCCTCCTGGTTGATGATAAAGATAATTTGATAATTATAATTAGATCAAGAAAAGTACCTACTGATTTAAGGGGAGTCGCTACTGAAAAATTGCCAATTTTGTAAAAAACATGATTTTTTTATTATTTTTTATCTTGTTCTATGGATTGTTTTAAGGTTTCAGAAAAACATAACATTTGGTAAAATAGGTACCTATATATTTTTATCACTGTGAAAAAAAATATTTGAAGTGAAGCGTGCACACCTCTTTTGGGGCATCAACAAGGCCTAGTATAAACTTCAACCGCTGATTTCCGCGAATTTAAATTTTTTTTTTTTATATATATGTTCTTATAACTTTTTAACTATTACAGCTATATGAATGAAATTTTTACCACACATTGTTTATACTATAAATCAACTTTCTGTGCATGGATATTGTAATTGGGTAAATAAAAGTAGGTACATTAAAAACAATAAAATTGGTTCAGTAGTTAAATAGTTATAAGAGATTTAAAAAACCCCATTTTCCCCGCCAAAAACTTAAAAAACTCCAAAAAGTATGTAAAAAATTTTTTTTCTTACTTTAACAGCAGTAAATCTTTTTCTAACACTAAATGAACTTAAAAAAGTATATATGATAATTTTTAAAAGGATTTTTTTTTAATCACTAGTTTCAGTAGCGACTCCCCAAATAGGTAGCATATGTTGTTTGTTTTTTGTAGATCCATACCAGGGTTTAAGTTCTGCGGTAGCATTTTTAGGTATTTTGCTATAGCAAACTTAAAAATTCTACCCTATATACTGTTTTTGCAGGCTATAGCAAATTTGCTACGAATAAAAATAAAGGCAATGTCCAAACATGTAGGCCTAATATTACTGGCAAATGTTTTAATTAATTATTTTTGCTGAGAGTTTGTAGCATTTTTGCTAAAACAAATTTCATTCCAGCCTTTACCCTGATCCATACTATGAACACCAATAATAAACAGGGTACAAAACCGATGACACTGTAACTTTAATCCAATCGTCATAAACAGTTTCCACAATCCAGACTGCTCGCCTTTACTACTTCCTTCACCACTTCCTACGTCGCGGACCTGTTTTCTTCCCTTCCCATAGAATTTTAGGAATGCAGATACCTTAATCTAATCGTCATAAACAGTTTCCATACTCCAGACTGCTCCCCTTTTTCTTTAACCACTTCATAAGTCACGGACCCCAAGCTAGTGTCGTCATTTGATTATATTTATGATCCATACCGTTTCTGTTCTAATATCTATGGAATAACGCTATCAGCTATTTCTTTATCTACTGCATTCAAAAGTCAACAGCTGATCATATGTATTTGTTTATGTGTCAAATACTGCTTCCATAAGGATTACATTGAAACTTTGAGACCCAGTGGAGCGGATTCCTGAGAGACTTTTTTAACGCCATATATAGATGTTAGCACTCACCGATATGGTCTTTATCACCATGCAAAATTTGAAAACGATTGATTCAGCCGTCTAGGAGGAGTTTGCGTATTACGAAATGCATAAGAGTCAACGTATAAGAGTAATTCTATACATTAGTTATATTCTAAGTTAAAAAATATAAATTTGGCTAGTTTAAAATTTAAAACAATATGATTGAAATGTTTTTCAACCCTGCAAATCATTATTATTAACCAATAACTATTCAGTCGCTACTTAAACTAGTGATTTAAAAAAAATCCTTTTAAAAATTATCATATAGTAGGTATACTAGTTTTAACTCATTAAAGCAGTCTGTCCACCAAGTTCTCAAAAGTGCCTGTTATAGTCTATTTATAAAGTAAGTACCTGGGGACCGAGCTTTGCTCGGGGAACTTTATCACTATACTCTGAGTCTGAGAGTATTCTTTGGTCTATGTAAATCGATCCCAAACATATCATTTTGCGATCTTTTCTTGACATCTATTTAACTTCTTTTCTATTTCTTCAGTAACTTCGTTTACTGAAATGAATAGAAAGAAGAGGCTATTTGTTTGATTCCCCTAAACGGCCCAAACTACAGAAAATAACCAGTATTTTTCACGCTGAATTAAAAAATGCTATCAGCAGTAAACAAATCTTCTCACCTTCCTTCCTTTTTAAGTATTAGTCACTGCAAGAACTTGGACTCGCTCCGAAACTACAACCAGAACCTTTAATTTACACTTCATTTTTAAAAGGTAATAAATTACAATTTTATTTTTCGGAAACTCAGGATTCTTTCCGACTAAAAACAAATTTACATTTTTTGATTTAGCAAGAAGAACTCAGTAAGTAGACACATTATAATCCAATTTTTATTAGGTTTGGTTAAATTAAACTTTTTCTATAAACAATATTTTCAAGCAAATGTTGCTCAACTTAGGTATTAGCTATTTTAAGAAAAAAATTAATCTCTTGATATTTTATAAATCATCATCTATTGACGTCGATACGACACGACAACCAACGAAAAGAGTAATTTAGTGATGATAATTATTATTAAAACCATAAAAAATAAAAAATATGAGATATATTGCTAGTTTATATTGACAAAAGTATTAAATAAACAGTAATAAAGCTGAAGATAATATAAGAATAGTTTTTTAATGGATTAGAAACTCATTAGGCTACTCTGGAAAGTTTTATAATGTAATACAAACTATTATACATCAAACGATTTAATGAACTGGAGCAAAGTAGAGTCGTTCTCTTTCTCTCTGTCTCAAGTTGACAAAATTGTATGTCAGAAGCTAATATAGGCTACGCTACGCATAATCAGAAGTAACAGTTACCTTGGAATTAAAGTGCTTCGAGAGCTTTCTGCGCATGCACAAGCTAAGGTGCTCGTGGGTACAGAACGTCACGTTATGTCTTAAAATGTAAACAAAATTACAATAATAGCGGAATGTTTTCTCATAAGGCCCATTTTAAATTTTCAAAAGTTTGTACTCATATTATGGCGAAAATAGATTTTTCCTGGCTATACCACTGGTCTGGAACTTATTTTTGACACAGAACTTAGTTATTCCGTAAATATAAACGTTTTTGTTAGGGCCGATTCCCAGATCGAGTTGACAATTATTCAAACTTTACTCGTATTATGTATAGGATTGAGTGAAACTATTTAAAAAATAGATAATTTTGAATGCTTGGTGCATAGACCGTGTAGCTACTCAAAAGTGTTTTAAATGGCTGGCAAAAAAGTCTTGACAATAATTTAGTTACCGTATTTAATCTCCTTTCCAATAGTATGATCATGCAGTTCACGGAATCGTTAGAATTAATATAGGCTTGCTTCTTTGAACCAAGCTCAACAAAATCAAAACTACTTCCAGCAGCTTAGCCAATTTTTACTGGAACGTCCAACAGTGTATAGTTTCACTAAACATGCGTAGGATTATAAACATTGATGTACATAGAACTACAATATTAAATATCATATGATTTATTGATTTGTACTCGAGTTATCCAGCTAAGGGACACAGACAAATAAAATACTGGTATATGAAATCGAATGAATGGTTCTTTTGCCCTCTGGGGACATCAAAAACACAACAAAATACCCTCCAGGGTTTGTATACCATGGGACCTACTAACAGGAGTAATAGCTTTTTCCCTATACAGGAAACTCGCTAAAAAGGTTGGAATTGTTTAGGAAAGTTAGTTTAC